GGGGGAATATCAAATTTTGTTTGTTTACTGCAGGTCATTTTGAGTTTTTTTCGTTTTTCTTGTTTAATTTTGGAATCGCACACAGGAAATGATGCATTCACGCCATTGACTTGGGTTTGATGCCATATCCCGGTGTCTCCAGCCAAAGACAATCTGAATCTTTGGGGACCCAGCCGGGGAGCAGGGAAGCCCCAACGAAAGCCAGATCCGAGCACAATCTCTTTAACCGTCTGCGCCACGTCAGAGCCTGCCCACTTTGTTGCTTCCAGCTTGGACCGATGTCTACGAATAGTGTACGGTGTGGCAGGCGGTGCTCAGGCATTCGTAGGACGTGCCCTAGCCACCTAAGATGATGCAGTGAAATTATTATGATACTAGCACACGTCGTCTGACCTCATCGTTCTTCACACGATGCTCCCACCATACACGAGCGATGTGGTGCCGACAACGCTTATGGAATACGCATAGTCGTTGGACGTGATCTGCTTGGAGAGCCATGTCTTGCAGTCAAAGAACAATACGGTGTGCACCGTTGCGCAATGCACACCCTTTCAGTGAAAGGGATATGTCGCTCCGGCGCCAGAGATGTCACAGCTTTGATCACGTGCTGGGAAATCTCCTCGCCNCTCCTCGCCCACACCTCCGCCAGCCGTTATACAACCCCCGAGGTAGACAAAGCAGCGACTACTTCCAGGGTATCATTACCCAACGAAAGTGCATGAACGGGTTCCTGCCAATCTCGCAACAACACTTTGCACTTTGAAGGTGCAAAGGACATGCCATAGCGAGTAACCTCAATTGTCAAACGATTCAACGACTCTTGAATCGTTGGTGTGTCACGCGGTAAGGCAGTATCATCGGCATACTCTAAGTCTACGACTCTGTCCCCAGGAAGAAGCTCGACGCCAGCGTTCGTTACGTTATGAAAATAGTTTTGTAGAATACCATCTATGGAGAAGTTAAAGAGAAACAGAGAAATAGGGCATCCCTGTCGCTCAGCACTAGTGACAGGAAATGAAGATGAAAGTTCACTATAGGCCCTAACCTTCCCCAAGGTCTGGTGATAGAGCGATTATAAGGAGTCAAATATACTTCTCGGGTATCCTTATCTCCGCAAACAGTTCCGATGTGCGTGGCGACCGATAAGGTCTAAGGTTTTATTGTTGTCCAAAACCACAATAGTTTGCCATCTGTATGCGTGGCGGTGTTCTAGTAGCTGACGGGGGTGAGGATTTGATCTATGCAACCACGGCATGCATGAAAGCCGGCCTGCTTCCTGCGGATTTGATTTTCACGAAATGGGCTTAATGCGTAATAAAACGGACGCTAGCAGTTTCGGTGCTGTTGGAATCAACGTACATCGCACAACGTACACCTAAACGTAGATTTTACTCCAGAAAAAGAACAATAGTTTAGCTTATCTAGATGAATTCATAATCCGCCGTAGTGATAGCTTCGTCCTGTATTCGATGCACAGATTTGTCCCACCTCAAACAAGATGAAATGTAATTCGCTACTTGATCAGTAGAGTGAAGAAAAAATGCACCGCGGACGTCATCGATGATGAAGCTCAATTTTTGCACAAAATGGCTACCCAAAACAATTTATAGACAAGAAAATACAAGAACACGTAAAAAGACCAAGGGAACTAGAAGTCGTTATGTGGGCATCTGACGTTCAAAGGTGATACGGAAGCAGAAACTAGTCCAAGAAAGCCTTCAAGCTACACAACTGAAAACTATATTCACATCTAAACCGATTGTGTTCGGCTGAAGCATTGCCGGATTCCGTAGCCTACTTTTGAGTATATTCATTCACATATCCGTGGCGCTAGGTACATTGGCCGCAAGACCAGGCGCATATTCGATACCATTCGTGAACATCAACAAGCCTAGTTTAGAACGGGAAGTATTGAGCTAACTACGAGCACGGCGTTCGCCCATTATTCAGTTAACCACTCAGTGGACAAGGTGAGCGCTTTTCGACCGATTTCAAAGGCTCGATGTAGACTATCGATACGAGCGATATATCGTACCCTAGACACTACCGAAACCGTGGACATTGGAATTTATAATCCCCCTGTATACTTCGAAGAAATTCATGCAAGCACTTAACCTCCTCCATGCGCATGTGGTTACAATCACTTTTGACAATGTGATTAATTTCACATACACATATATAAAGAGCCGGATCTGAACTAAGTGGATTGTAATTTCCCATCTCACAACGTCTTTGCCTTCAGCTTACTGCGTGTTATCTATTGGCACGATTTCGAGTGACTGAAAACGAGTTCTCTTGCCACGCTGTGGTCCAACTCAAACCTAATATGAGGATACGAACACCCTAATCAAGAGACTTCCTCACATAGGCTGCATTAGGCTTCCTGGCTAGGCGGCACATTGGGGTCAAGGTAATCAATGGTTTTTGATAGTGAGTGGTATGGCCAAGTGTCGTACATAGTGGCTCTGATGCACTTACTCATTATCATTGCAACTTTGGTCTTCATGAATTCTCTATTTTCGCTCAGATACTGATTCAAACATTCCCATCTCCCCTTTATTCGTTCACTCAAAGGGGCAGTGGTAAAAAACCAACCAAAATCGGCGCATGGAATTGCGTGTTTAATGGTTATAAAAGCTGAAGTGAACTGTGTTCCCCCAACGTCTGCTGTGGAAGTATTCCAACGTTTGAAATAGAAATTTCTTTATGCTAAAACAGCAGCATATCTTCTGTAGTTCCTTATCTCACCTGCTTTGATACCATCGGGATTGATCCAATGCACTAACTCAACTCCGCACTTGAAATACTTCAACTTGACTTGAAGTAATGGTGCTCGGTAGTCGGCGCCGACAATTTGATTATCAGAAATATCATGCTGAACTAGGGTAGTAGCGTGGCCAGCACGGTGCATAATAAGACAACAACAGACAGTTTGCCTAAAAGACTCACCTCTCGGTGACCGAAGGTTCGATAGGCAGCTTCTTTGCCTCGACGAAAGTCCGCTGAATCCAACAGATCATCATGAATCAGACTGGTCGTATGAATCATCTCAGTGATCATGGCAATTCGATGTTGGCTTGGAGAAACAGACTGAGCTGAAAATAGGTAATCATCATATAATAATTTTGATTTCACCTACCAAGCTTTCGATCCGTGTAGAAGTCTGCCAAAGGATCTGTAGAAAATTCCAAATGAGACAAGCCGTTCACATGCTGATTGCAACAAGCAGACATGAGTGTAACTAGAAGCGGTCGCAATAGTTTACCACGTGTATCGAATTGATATCGCACTAGCTGTCGAAACAGTGGTGGTGTAGGATTGAGGGACTAGCAGTACTTGAGTTTGCGCAAACATCGGCAGGAGTAACTTACCTCTTTGATATTAGAGATCAAAGTACGCATGTCACATTGCGCACCTTGAAGCAGTGGATTGAGTGTTGCATCGGTGTTCCGCGACAAATAGACGCTTGGATAGGATGCTTTCTATGGGGCAAAAAAGTAAGAAGTTGTACAAGAGGCCTACCCTCGTTACACAAGTAGAAATCGCCCTCGTTAAAGACGAGAACCTTGGACTGATATGCATCAAGCGAAAGAAATGGGATGATATGCACGGGGCACGGTAACTGAACGATTGAATTATTTTGTTCAGCAATAATATACCTAAAAACAACACCAAATTTATTGATAGGGAAAGAAATAACATGACAAAGCCAAGACTACTTGTCACAACGAATAACTACCACGACAAACTTTGTTTTCGCCAAGCTCTCAATGACTTGAACTCACTTATTCATGTGGCTAAATCCTAGGAATATTTATTGGAAACATACTGACTGCTGTTTTACAGCAGTATATTTTCATTTGTTTTCACACACGTTTGAGATTAGACTGACAAACAAACCACAATACAATGATCTTTATAAAAGAAAACGTTCTGTGAGACTAACGTACAGTGGAGGAGTGGTTATGGAGCCTTAATGATACCAGGGGTTACGGATCTCCATCGCTGTCAAGCGATTTTATAACAGGTTGTTCAACAGTGGCCGCCGCATGTCTTTGGGTGAACGGTTTACCACGACTAATCCCATATTAAGCCGAAGAATTCTTTATCAATGAACAGTGAAGTGTGATGCATTGGAATTATTTATGGTTTGTGTACACATTGGAGTTTGATGGACGGGTACTGTCAGGGTTTCTAGCCACTAAGCAGGAGAACCATTAGGGTTTTCGTTCAAAGCATTAGGTCTAACAAGAACCTGACCGCAATACATATTTCATATATATTTTACACACCTCTGAATCCAGACTGTGCCTAACAAATCATGGTACAATACTCTTTAAAAAAAGGAAAAACCTTCCATGATTGGCTTATGGGCTGAATACTTCCAGGTTGCCCAGGCCAAGGCAGATGAATTCTCTTGAGGAATCCACAACCGGAACCTTTGGTTAACTAAAGCCCGACTGGCAACGCAGCGGGCCGGTGTGCAAAAATCGCAATCCATTGGGGGCCGGTGTCCAGTTCATTGGATCAATCGCCCTTCTGACGGGATCAAACGTCCAAGGTGGCCGATACACCTCGATNGAGCCGATGACCACAACCGACACAACTAGGAAGTTGTGTGTGTGTGGTTCGTACGCCTTCTCATGGTTGTTTTGGGATCAGGGTTTTTGGCCAACTCGCCTAGGCGAACTGCCAGTAGTCCACTAACCCCGTTATAGCCCCGTATGTCGGCTTTTCGTCCTCTCACTTTGGTGGGAAAACATCTCCGCCACGAGAAGGCAGTGGGTAGGGCTTCCTCGGCAGGGGCTATTTGAAACGTTTGGCCGCATGGGGGCATTTCGCGAGGTTCAATGGAAGTGACCAGTTGCAACCCTAGACACCCACATCCGACCATAATGAGGCTTTTGGAGGCAGCAGGAAAAGCGAATTAGAGGATCATTTACATAGATCGATTACTCTTTCACCATTTTACCGACTGAGACGTTAACTTGAGTCGAACCCCAATCTGGAGAATCAGAAGACTGAATTTGTGTGACCTCTATCGTTTGACATCCCAGGCAAGATAAGATCTGGTTTGATAAAAGTCACCCCGTATAGCACGTTGGGTCAGAAAGGTGCATTAAACATCATCATTGTACAGCGTAATACAGTGAAGCGAACTTCACTGATCGCTGCCAAACTCATTGCATCCTAGGTAAGTGATACTGTGTAAGGAGGACAGGCATTGGACCTATTCTTACGGACGGAAAAAGAAAGTGAACCTATATGGTCAACAGAGAGTAAACAGTCCAGCTGTGTAGACATACTATTCCGAGCATTCTGGTTTGATAAGAAGTGACAGCATGATCGCCATTGCTGTCGGTTTGCAATCATAACCTTCAGTATCTCCAAACATGCGGTTTGGGAGCCTTTTGGAACCCATCCCATCCTTATCATCATCGTACAACGACCCCATTCCGGAAAACGAGAGAAACCCACTCTACCTAATCGCTCTGTGAACTCCTTCAGGCCTCGTCCCCACCTCATCTGATGGCCTCCACGTGGCTTTC